GCGAAGGTCGCCGCGCCGCACCGTCCGATGCAGCCGCACGCGACCCTGAGCCGCCCTGCACCCCTCCCCCGGCGCTATCTGCTGCCATCACGTCACGCGTCCTCTGTCAAAGGCATCGGGCGGCCGGACGGCGGCGCGGCCACAGCTCGGAACGCGGAACCGCGGCGCCGACGGCGGCGCTGCCGCTAATCCGGCCGGCCGGCGGCCGGCGGGGCGGCGCGGTGACCCCGCGCCACTCGCCGCCGCAGACGGCTGGCGCTTATCTGCCGCTGTACCGGCCGACCGAAGCCGGCAGGATTTCTCGGTCGGCCGCGGCGACGGCGTGCGGGCTTCCGCCGACGGCCGGCCCTTCGTCGCGGAGCCGCCTCTTCCCGCAGACCCTGTGTGGGCCCGGCCCGCGCCGGGCGCGACCCCTGACCTGCGCTGCCCCCACACGTGCACCGCGCGACCCGGCCGACCCCGGCGCGTGCCGGCCACACGCCAGGCCCTCTGGCGGTACTCGTCATTCCCGAGTCGTGTCTTACGCCCGGGCCGGCCGCGCTTCATCACCGCCAACGCGGCACTGAGCACAGCTGGCACGCCAGTTGCGGGAGCACGCGGGCGCGGCGGCCGCGGCGCAGTCGTCGGCTTTCGACGAGCCAGGCCGGCGGCCGCGGCGTGCACAGCCCGACGACGGACGAGGCCAGCGCCGGCGGCGCCACCTGTGTCCTCCCGGCACTGGAGGTGACCTCCGCCACGCGCCGACACACGCACGCACCTACCCGACCACGCCGACACGAGCTGGCGGGCGGCGCGCGCCAGCGAGGGCCTTGGCGCGCCTGGCCCGATATCGTCACGGGCCAGCCCGGCGTCACGGAAAGCCCGCCAGCTGCCGCGGCGCCCTGCCGGGGACAGGCCGCCCGCCCCTCCCCGCGGCGGGAGCGGTATCGGGTGGCGGCGCCCGAAATGCCGACGCCGTGACCTCCGGCGTCCGACGGCCGGCGACCTTCACCAGTTTAAACATCCCGAGCGGCGGCCGCCGCTGACGTCAGAGGCCCGGTGTCAGCTGGCGTCGGCGCCGCGGTCGGCTGCCGGGGCACCGGCGCGGACAGCGGCGGCGAGGCCGGGGCCTCTCGTCCGCTCGGCTAAGCCGACGTCAGGGCACATCACGTCACGCCCTCCGTCGGCAGCAGGGGTCAACCGGCAGGGACGCGATCCCCTTCGCCACCGGCCGCCGGCGGCGCGTGACTTCCGGTCGGCGATCTGAGGACGTGACGTCACGTCTTTGGTTGCAGGATCACGTCGCCGTCAAGGGGGCTTCTCCCCCCGCCCGTCCCCTGTCCGGTCGGTTGAGCCTACGCGGTGTCAGCCCGGCGACCGTGACGTCAGGTAGGGTCACATCAGGTGCGGGCCCGCCAACGGGTCCAGCGCCGCCCCACGTCCGACACAGCTGCTGATGCGGAGAGGAACGCGCCACGGACCGGGTCACCGGGCAGAGGAGCGCATGACGGACCGGGTCACCGGGCAGAGGAGCACGCCACGGACCGGGTCACCGGGCAACGGAGCGCACGACGGACCGGGTCACCGGGCAGAGGAGCACGCCATGGACCGGATCACCGGGCAGAGGAGCACGCCACGGACCGGGTCACCGGGCAGAGGAGCACGCCACAGACTGGGTCACCGGGCAGAGGAGCACGCCACGGACCGGGTCACCGGGCAGAGGAGCACGCCACGGACCGGGTCACCGGGCAGAGGAGCACGCCACGGACCGGGTCACCGGGCAACGGAGCGCACGACGGACCGGGTCACCGGGCAGAGGAGCAAGCCACGCACCAGGCCACCCGCACTGACGGAACGTCAGCGATCTGCGGCACCGCCGCGCACGATGACAGCACCCGGCGCCGGCAGCCAGGTGACGCCGACACACCCCCGGCGTTGGGTGAGGCACGGCTCCTGGCCATGCGACCCTGCGCGAGGATGACGTGGCATCTACGAGAATCGGCACTGGCCGGGCGCTTAGCCATGCAGCGGCCGGCGGGTGCCGAGCGGCGCCGTTTTTGCCGTTTTCCAAGGGCGGCCACTCCTCAGCGCCGGCTGTTAAGGCCGCCCTGCGGAGCCACCGGCCTGCTGCATCAGCATAGCCGGCTGGCGGTGCGGCACAGCCGGACCCGACCGCGGCGCACAGCACGCGAGCATCCAGGAAACAAAGCCGATGGCTTTTCCACGCCGACCTCGGCACCATCGGCAGCCTTGAAAACCGTGCTCCCCGCCGGACGTGAGCCGGCGAAAATCCGCCGATCATGGCAGTCACAGTGATAGCCGCCAACATCGCTACTTTTTGTCAGCACCCGACCTCCCTGTCAGTACTTACTCCCTCAACCCCCCCCCCCCTCCCCTCCATTTCCGCGGCGTCGACTCCAGCAGGGGGCGAGGGTCGGCTCCCGGGGTCCATTCTCGATTCCCCTCTCACTCCTCCACTCTGAACACTGCCAAACCCCGGCGAGGGGACGGAAGAGAGCCTGCCCTGCGTCCCACCTGCCCGTCTGTGAGACCACGCCGCGTCAGCTGACCGGGGGGAGAGGGAGGGAAGAGGGGCGGGGGGGGGGGGAGCAGGTGCCCGGGACGCGTCGGCCGGGCCCGCCCAGCGGCAGCCTTGGGATGACGGCGCCGCGTCCCTACGCCGCTCGTTCATCCAGCGGAGCCAGCGGCCGTCCGGCACGCCACGGCATGGCACGCCAGTACAATGCACAATACGCCCGATACCCTCAACATCCTGGCGCGCTCACACGCGGCGCGCGGTGTGGGGGTGCAAGGGCACACGACCCGGGCCTTGTTTAACCGTGGAAATCCGGCTGCCTTTTAACGATATGCTTTCTGGACATGATGGGGCATACGGATAGCCAAGTTTAGGGCGGAAATTTCGCCGATCATTCAATGATACGCCCACTAACAACCGACGCGCCCTTTCACTGCAACAGCAGGGACACCGAACCGCAAAGGAACCCTTCCGCGGCGATCGCCTCGTCGGCACGGTGGCGGTGGCACGGTCCCCGGTGGGCGACGCTGGGGCCGGGTGAGCTCCGGCCGTCGACAATGCCGATGGCATCTGGAGGTGTCCGACCACAGCGTCACCGGAAGACTTGTGAACGACTGGTGTTCATTTGTCTCGGTGTGTGGACGCCAACGGAGCGGCGTTCGCAGAGGCTTGTTTGCGCATGCCGAAGGCTGGTCGTGGGTGGGCCGACCCGGTGGGTGGCGAGCAGGGGATCGCCATTCCTCTCGCCTGTCTTTCTTCGCATTGTTCGAGGACATGCACGTTGATTTGTGGCGCGGACGGGCTGTTACCGTAGCTGACCACAGCCTAGGCCGCTCCGTGCCTGCATACCAGGCGACGAGAATCGACCGCGGTCTGTTACAAACCACATACCACCAGCTTCCGAGCTGGAACAGAAGCTCATCCGCAGTCATTTCGGTAGAGAAATAGCTGCTGACAGGAGGCTTCCAACAGGCCGTAGAAACCCCATCTAACCCAACAGCCACCGAGCCAGCGATGCCCACAGTCGAGGCTACCAAGCAGAGCAGGCCGCTCAGGGACATCGATCGACGGTCATCCTTGGGGCTGGCGCCCAACAACTGTGCCCCGTGCGCAACACGTCTCGCTGCGCCACACGCATCCCACGCGGCACGTGTTCGCGTCGAGCACGTGAGCCGACGCCACGTGTGTGAGCGCGGCGGTCGCGAGCCGGTCGGGGCCGCGGCGGCGCGCGGCCGCCCGCCGCCCCAACAAAGAGCGGTCGGTGAAACCGCGCCGTTTCTCCCCGTTTCACCGGGCGGCGGCTGCGGCGTGGCCGACCCCCGGCCGGCGGATCGCCGGCGCTCGCCGCCGGCCTAAAAACGCCAAGGCCTCGGCGGCCCCGTTTCCGCAGCTGGGAGTGCGGCGGCGGCGGCGGCGGCGGCGGGGGTCGGTAACGCCGCCGAGGCCGCCACTCGCTCCAGTGGGGGGAGACGGGACGCGCGCGGACCGTGAGGGGCGGGGGGGGGGGGGGGCGGGCGCAGGTCGGCCGGCCGGGCAACGGTCGCCGCTGACCCACATTGGCGCGCCGCCGCCGGCGAGGTCGGACCCACGCACAGTGCGCGCAGAAGTGGGGCGATCGATGCCCGCCGGCGCGCCGGCCCCCACGCGTGCGAGTGCGTCGCGCGCGCGCCGTGCAGAGAGCGTGGCCCGAGGGAGAGGGTCCTGCGCGGCGTGGGAGCCAACCTTGCACGCGGCAGGACTGTGCCGGCTTAGCAGTGGAAATGGGGACGAGCCGCGACAGCTGCTGCTCCGAGCAGACAGCTTAGCCCGTGGCGATTGATCCGACACGTTCGCTCAGCCCCGACGCCGTGCCTGCGCTAACTCGCCCGCTGTGGGCAGCCAACACAATGGCGTCACACAAGCAGCTCAACAGCCCTGACCCGTTCGCAATCACCACTGAATCACGCACGCGCTCCGGCGCTCTGCACGGCTTTGCGCCCTTGCACGGCAGCCGCGGCGGTGAAGCAACGTCCGCTCAGGTCGCTACAGCGGCGCGCGATCCCAGACCACCGGAAACAGCGCCGGCGCAGCGCCGCCGCGCACGTGCTGACAACCCGAGCGGCGGCGTTCGCGAGGCCCAAACGTCGAGCTGGACGAGTTCTCACACGACGAGTGACTGAGCGTGGGAACGGCCGGCCGGAGTGAGCTCGACTCGGGCTTGCGACAGGTCTGCTTCAAACCTCGACAGGTCAAGTGGAACTTCACGGGGGCACCGGCTACCTACGTACAAACCCCACGTAGACATGATTCCAAGTTGTGAACTGATGACGTAATGTGAAACCAGCTAGTGGACTGCGGACAAGTGACCTGGACCAGCCATCCACTCCAGGAGGTCGTCCCCCACAGCGCCGCCCGAGCCAACCGCATCAAACGCTGCCACCGCGTTGCGATCCGCTACTGTTTCCGCCCGCCGCGGCGCGGGCGGGCAGCTGGGCGGCGTTCTCACCTGCGTGAAGCACCAGTTCTCGGCGGTGGGCTGCGAGTTCTCGTTGGAGGTGGGCGGCGGGCTGGAGACGCGCGAGACAGCCATCACCGACGAGGCGCGAGGCTGCGCGCACGCCTCGCTCACCATCGCCCTTCTGTCGGAGATCGGACGCATGCGGTCAGCCAGGTGGGGCGTCCAGCGCGGGACACCAGTGGCACAGAGGACCCAGCTCACGGCGTACAGAACACGGCGACGGAGGTGCACGGAACACAGGCTTGAAGGGACCCGGAGTAAAAAGTCACCAGGGACATCGGGCGTCGACTAACCGAGGCACGGTATATTTCGGCAGCAGAGCACAGGTCACAGGGTACGGAACAAGGGATGTGTTACGGTCAAAAGGGTACAGCAAAAAGGGCCACGAACCCGGATCCGGCCCGATAGGGATAGGTCACATATCGAAGGAGCAAATGGCCGGAAGAAGCACCGAGTGCCGCGTAAGGAGCCGCAGAGCACCGCCTCATACAGAGCACAGGGTCCATAAGGGGACGGAAGCGCGCAGCACCCGGTGTGAGAGCGGGACGGAGGGTCAACGCTCAGCGCGCAAAACCGCGTGAAAACAGAATGAAACGCCGAGTCCAAGAGAGCACGGCATCCAAAAGGTCGAGCGCTGGTTCAAAGGAGAAAGAACACTTGGTCCAAGGGGCACAGCCACCAGGCCACGGGACGAGGAACACCGGGTCCTCCCGAGCGGTAAGCGCTAGATTGCCAACATCACACGGCATTTTGATATGCCAAGACCTCCTTGCGATTCCACGGCCCTGGTAAAGTCCGCCGCGCCCGCTGATCCAGCAGCGGTCGCCGGCCAATCAAAATGAAACGCTGGACGACGGACCTCGAATGGCACGTGAGGGTTCGAGCCATAAATCGTCACGCAATGTAATGGGAGCTACCACCAGTAATGTTCACTAGGGCCTGGAACCAAGTTGCCACAAACGACATCCACTATATGGGACTAAATGCGACCGAGTTAAAGGGACATCTGCCGTCCAAAGGCAAAAAGGCTGAAGTGTCATGTCAAGCAATGGCTCATAGGCCTGCTTGTGAACGGCAGACATACGAAAAAACTTGTGACAGCTTCCCATTTACATGGAGCCTCTCGTTTGGCAGCCGTACTCTGTCTTTAAGCTGCGAAATTTCGTTTTCGCTTCAACACAGGTCCATTCAGAGTGGGTGCGCTATGGTACGGCCGTGCCGCGTACGTGAGTGCGGTACAATAGTACATGTCAGTACAGTGGTACAGCAGCACGATATAGTGGTGCCGCAAGGAGCGACACGTTACGGCAGCTCTAGAAAGTGTTGGAGAACGTTTCAAGTACCACAGTGACGAGGGAGGCCTTCAAAGACACGAAGTTTATATCCATCCTACGCTGTTTTGAACAGACATCGACTATGGTCAATGGGCAAAACATAAAAGGCGTTCGGGTATTTCACTGGCATTTCACACTGCACAACCACGCGTGTGTTTGAGGAGTTTTGATACCACAGATGCAGATGATGATGTCGAGAAGTCCGTGGATTTTGAGTGCGTACAAACAAAGGAACAATCAAATGCACGTACGAGCAAATGTGTGCCGGATTTCTAGCCAAAACATGGGGTCCAGATATGTTTGCACTCCCCACTATCCGCCAGTCACGAGAACATGTGTACGGTTCAGAGTAGCTCAGAATTTTGGCGAAATATCAGCCGATTTCGATCGGATCTGACATGCAACGCGAACAGCGCAGCCTAACACAGCCACAAAGAGGGCAATGCAATCACATGACACCAGATTGTACAGAAACATATCTGGGCTGATAGAAGCTGATTAAAAAATCGCTCACTGAAGTATATCATGCAAGCCCGAACGTTTCATTCCTGTTATTTTTATCGCGTATGCCAAGATTATCAAAACCCAGTGTCTCCGCACCGGTATCCTTAATGCCTCATCCCTGATGGGCAAACGGGCCCAGGCGCTACCGAAATTTACGGATACCGGGTTAGATCCGGAATGTTTGCTGCCGTTGCTCGCCCCGTTCGCGATCTTCTCGGTTCTACGCAGGCCGACATTTAGACGGAGCCAAAGTTCTGGCATTGTCCATGCCAGTCCGAGGACTGCTTCAGTCTCGGCACGACTCCTGCAGAGCTGGATGCCAGGATCGCGGTAGCAGACTAGCGTCTCTAATTTGCATCCAACACGACGAAGGATGCGGCACGCTCAAGTTTAGCATACATCCAATGATATAGCAGAGAGCAGATATGAACAGCATGACATACCACGCATAGAGAGGATCGTCGAGCTCGTGATTCACAGCAAGTGACGAACGAAAACTATCTTCGGCTACCAGTCTCAATCAATTTGTGAAAAAACATGACACAGCGAGGAGTACATCTTAAGAGGTTCAGCACATCTGCACTTACCCGGAGAAAAAACTAGACGGGGCTGAATCCAGCTTTACGGCTTCCTCGTCGCGCAGGCACAAAGAACGAGTCCCAAATCCCTAATCCTTACGAACACAACTCCCGGTATGTTACTGCGTTAAGACCGCTCCGAGAAATGGTGCTTCGCTATCAGTTGTGAGAGGCTATGACCAAGAGCAAACTTTCTCCTCAGCGTCGCATTCACGCCACAGCCGCACCGACCGCTCCTGCGCCGCGGTGCTCCGCGCCCACCGCGCTCCGGTCGCAGACAGCTTCTGTCACGAAACCGTCCGCGTTGTATTCGGCCGTCTCTACCGCGGCGCATTCACCGACGCTGCGGAAAAGATACGGGACAACTAATTTGTACAAGAGCGGCAAGTCTCACAGGAAATGGAGGTCTCGTTTCGCTTCTCTGGTTCTAGCTGTAGTATGGAGCTTTAATGCTCACCGAAAAGGTGCATTTTCAAAAAGTGGGATACCTCCAGGGCTCGCTGGACGAAGAGGATCTGTAGTCTTTGCTAGGTGAGAACAGGAGAAACCTCGGAAGCTCCGTGTTTGTTTTGCCAGAGGACTTGTTCGACGCTTGAAAATATGCAAGCATCAGAAATAAGCATCATCAAGGACAAGCATCAGAAGTGATTAGAAAGGCCATTTGTAATTGCAAGCATGCTTTGAGATGCAAAATTCTGCTCCAAATGGCAAAGTTTGACCATTCAGGACATACACTCCGCGATTCGTGATCGTTTGATAACATCATGGAACGTTTTCATGACGTCAGAGTCGTTGTCAGACTGGTCGTGTCAACGTACCGCTGTTGCGGATGGTTTGACACACCTGTAGCATTTCTACACGCCGCAAGGTGGCGTTGATGGTCTAAGCGTATTTTTTACAGGAGTTCTGTGCATGTGGTTTTGCCTTTTCTTGTCGCGCACTCGTATATTTTTCCGTGATGGAATTTTTTATTCACAGTTGCGCTTTTGTTTACGGTACTACTCTTAAGTTATTCTGTTAGCAGCCTCAGCTCCCTTATATCTAGTCGTTAACCAAATGCATGCGTTATTACCCCAAAAGGTGTTTTGCGGTTGGAAAAATGCAACCGGCAGCTTAGCTTGACTGTTAACCAGTTGCCTTCTATCATAGGGACACTTGGAGCTGGGCCAGCACAAATGTTTCAGTGGCCATATCTTTATCAACCATAAACACAAGACAGCCAATGAGGTTGGGACATGTGCGTCACGTTTATATGGCGTCATAATACCTGCGTGACTTTCAAATAGGCGGAACGGAATAAGCCGCGCAAGTTTGTGTGCGTCAAGCTTATAAATAAGACGGTTTTAAGTCGTAAGAGAATGTACCACATGCAAAGATACTGAAGCAAGTATCAGATGTAAGACGTCATATAATTTCTGTTATTGTCCTTCCGCTGTTGTTTCGATAAAGGCATGTTGCCGAAATATCAGCGAATGTACTTCTACATTCTCCTGTCTTTTCCGAGGAATAAGGCTGTTACTGCTGTCTTATTTATGTGAATAATTCCCACCGAGTGCGCCGAACAACTTACGTAAGCATGGATATGATAAACTAAGTTAACTTTCAACTATCGATGTACCTGTAAGTGGAAAAGGTTGCTCTAGTCAACGAAATTTCTCCGTTTATAAATATGCCTGTCAGTATGTTTTGCTTTATTTCGTCATCGTTTCTTGTGCAACATTGATCAAGAGCCAGTTAATGCCCGCCTTATCTGGAAAGCGTGCTCACGAACGCCAGATATGAGCGCCTCGACAATTATATTTTTAATGGCCATAATTACCGCATGGCCAATGACATGGGAGGATTCGAATGGCGTTGTTATGGCGTCATGTATGCCTCGATGACCTTGGAATAGTTTTCCCGAAATAGTCTGCACATTTCCGCGGGCGTGTGACTCGAAAACTAGAAGAGTGTAGGTTAGGGAACAGGGAGCAGGGCTGTGAACTGCACCGAATGATCTTCAAGATGGTTATTTCAGTTCAAAACCCGAACAAATGTTGAACAATCTCTTTAAAGAGGCGTGACAGTAGACTGCAGGGAGTGATCTCGAAAATGGGTCTCACACTTAAAAACCCCATACAAATGTGGAACAGTCCCTCTAAGAAGCCGAAGTTTGATGGAAGTGAGCCATAATCGTTACATCAATAACTTCCAGGAAAGGGGATTTTTGAGACCGCGGAAACTAAATGAGATTTTAAGGAAGTTTGTGAAAAGGGCTTTTTAAGAAGCGCGGCGATTACAAATTTTTGGTGCGGTACGGTGAAAAGTTTGACCGTAAAGGCTAACGCCATTTTTTTTAGGAAACGTGATGGTTTCGAACGCATCCCTCAGTTTTGGAATGATTGATACATAATGTTACAGATTCGCGACAGGCACCTGCCATTCGAGCGGGGAAAAATCGTCCACACATATTCACGCCCGCTGTTCCTACGCAGAGGCGCTAGGACCAATGTTAATATTGGCGCTGTTCGACGCTCGTGATGAGTGGTATTGTACAAAATGCTGGTTCCGCAACCGCCCACTTTTCTCTCGCTACCAAGGCATTGGATGTTCAAACAAGGCCATCGCGGCACGTGGACGAAAACGTATTAGAAAAGATCATAGGAGGTGAAGATGGCGGAATCTTCCCCATATCTGAGACTAAAGCGTTACGGGCTGCAGTACAAAAGGTGGCCACGAAGACCACCAGCACCCAAACAGAAGCCGGGTAACCTGGAGGTGACCATGCGTCTGGACAGGAGCCCGTCCCCAGCCGTTCATTAGTTAGTTTCCCTTACGGGTGCCATGGAGGGAATCAGATTAACCTAAATTAAGACGGATGTTTTAGCCGCTGACATCGCTGGCTGGCCAGGCATTCTCCGATCGCACAAAGCCCTGCCTGAATGCGGACAGCAAACACAGCTGCACAGTGCAAGACAAGCCGGTGAAGACACGGAAGAGAGAACGTCTCACCGCTCGCTAAACCAGCTGGTTCGCCGGTGAGTTCTAGAACGCCGGCAAACCTTTTGCGCAGCAGAATTCTCGTCACTGGCGACTCGTATTTTAAGTATTGCACGAAGCTACCAGCCGCGCAACAGACAGCGGTGTAAGTCGATTTCACTTTGTACTAGGCGGGACGACCCAGCATTTGAAGGGACAGTTGCCTGCTGCCATGAATAGGAGCGGGACCAAGTCGGTCGTTCTTCGTATTGGAACGAATGACGTAGTGAATGAGGGACCGGACTCTGTTGTCTCGAATGCTCTTGATATAGCTTACCTTATCTGTACCTCGAAGGTTCTTGGTAAAGCTTCATAGATTTTCGTGCCAAGTCGTGGACGGCAGGTGCCCTCATGGTGGCCTGGGAAGGGACGATGCACATTTTAGCAGGTCAGGGACAGCACGGACCATTCATCAACTTTCTAAATAGGTTGAGAGTTTTCGAGGGCGTTCGGTGTTGTCGAAGATGTGGTTATTCAGCATCACGTTGCAAGCATACACCAAGAGGGTTCTTGGCAACACATCACCCATGACTTAAATAAATGTGAACATTTTGATGGCCTTACAGTAGCAACCACAAACTGCTGACGCATTAGGTCTGCAAACACGATAAAATATTATAACATTTGTACGAAATAATAACCCACATTATGTGATCATAACTCACACGATCATGATCCTATGGTCAGATCACCCGTGTACACAGAATCGTGGCTAACGGAAGGCATTTATTTCAGCGAAGAGTTTTCGACAGGTTCTGCAATGTCCAGAAGGAAAAGAAGGGATAGAATTGGAATGCAGTGAGGTCATAAGTGTGAGGAAGAATTGCCAGCTACAGAGAGAACACTCTTACGAATGATTCAGAAGCTGTTTGGCGCACAATAGTAGATGGTAACCAGAAAGCATACTTAAAGGCGTCCTCTATGCCGCGCCTAGCGAGAAAGACGATGCTCATTGCATTTAATGGAGACATTAACGCGCGCCTGGGTGGCCGTTTGATTACCCTTCGCCTGTATGTGAGGGGCAGATCAAATTGACCCTTTGCGAGCTCGAAAACTAAGCGAGCTAGACATACCAAATGCACAGGGTAGGTTAGCTTGTATGTGGACTCACTTCGTTCAAAATTTGAGGTTCCTAGGTATCTACCTTCGGGCCAAATAAGGTTAAGCCAGGTCAAACTCCACATTGGTGTTCAAAGTACCCCCAGGCCTCCTCACGCCTCCACCGCGAGCCTGGATGCCAATTCTAACCAAACGTTCAATGGTTTCTTTGACGTTCAGTTAATGTGTTTCACTTTTAGGTCAAGGTGACGAAAAACATGCGAGACTGCTGCTGTTCTCTCATTGAAATAAGCGTTAGGGACTACGCTAGGCGGTATGTTCCTAAAATCAAAATTTTGACCTGGGTCATTCTAGATCAGTGACCTTCTCTGGCCTATGAGAAGTACATGAGACGTGTCTGCTATGGTCCCTGTTATTAATGGATTCGAGATGAACATCAGAACCTATTCCATGAAGCAAGCTCTCTAGTAAAAAAATCACGTTAGTTTTGATCTCGGTCTGACCTTTATGCCTGAACCTAGGTCTATGAAATTTGTTGTAATTATAAATCTAATTGTTTTATTGCCTACGAAACTGTCTCAGAGATGTATGGCGTCGTCTAACACTCCGTTGTCACATCAGATTGGACGGTTCTCTAGAAATGACCTTCGCTGACAGCCACGGCCTGGTTTTGACCTGTCATAAGTTAGCGACCATGCGAGGTATATCTGATTTCTTGTCAAAAGATCTTCTCTTAAATTATTTACAGCCCTGCAACGTTTGGCGCCGTTCGGACATATTATGGTAAAACCTTCAGGAGGTCAAATTGTCCCTCAGCATGTGCGCGTGTTAGCGCAGAAATCCAACAAGTCTAATCTACGTATGAGAGTAATTATCGGAAATGGTTTTCATTTTCCTAACGTTTATTGGCATGCTTCATGTCATAAGTCTGGTGTTAGATGCTCCGTCAATGTGAAAATCTATTGAAACTTTGAAAACCCTTACCTCCGAACGTATAGTCAAAGAATCTGATAAATACGCCTAAAACACTGAAAATATATTAGATCTCCCGGTAAATAATGCACCAGAAGAGGCCAAAGGTATGTTTGTATATGTTGGGATCAGTGACTATTAAGCAGTGATCCTTACGATTTGTTGTAAATTGAAACGACCAAACTTTAAGCATAGCATAAAACTTCACAGAAAACGCCAG